TCAAACTCACATTATGTGCTCAATCCCAAAGCCCTATTTCTTTGTTCGGGTCATTAATTAACAACAAAAATAACATTTTGTCAGCATTTTTGGAAGAAACGCGGCCGGTGACATCCAAGTATGCTGTCCTCCAAAGCGTTAAAAGTTATCGTTCGAATGTTTTGTTTTCTAGTACCACCGAATCAAAGATATATCAATAGGTTATGTGCAATAAATTTCGTATAAAAGAATACCTGCTGCATGTACTTTCATTTTCATAATACTTACCTATCCCCTTTGTATCCTTGTGATGTCGTTGGCTGCATTATCAACACGTTCTCATGAATTCCGACCCATCTGTTGTCTTTCCTTTCAACTGTTCCATGCTTGCGTTTGTCCTCTTGTTTTGGGGATCTTTTCGTTCTTTATTTTCAGGACAAAGTCTATCTACTTCTAATATCTGACTTAAATCACCTTCAATATTGGTCGATCCCTTATTTTGTTTTGAAAACACTTGCTGGTGATTGTTACTGACCAACGAATTTTAGATATTTTTCGAAGGTATTTTTCTATGAAAGATTATTATCAATTCATCATCTGCAAAACAAAAATCATATTGATTTATATATTTGAAAAGCACAAAAATCAAAAATAAATGTTTAAAGACTGCATACTGTTGGTTCTTACTTATGTTAGGGAAAGACAAAGACTGGATGCCTAGAACATTTTTATTAAATTGATAATAATGACAATATTTTTATACAACTACACCAATCCCTTAACATATGCGTTTGATATAGAAAATTTGAATCGCTTATATAAATAAAAGTAGGCTGTCCTCCAAAGCGTTAAAAGTTATCGTTTGAATGTTTTGTTTTCTAGTACCACCAAATCAAAGACATATCAATAGTTTATGTGCAATAAATTTCGTATAAAAGAATACCTGCTGCATGTACATTCCTTTTTCATAAAACTTACCTATCCCCTTTGTATCCTTGTGATGTCTGAGGCAACCTAGCAGCCTCCGCCATCCGTCCCTATCTTTGGCTGCAGTATCTACATGTTCTCATGAATTCCGACCCATCTGTTGTCTTTCCTTTCAACTGTTCTTTCTTCGGGTTGTACGTGGCTTTCCATGCTTGCGTTTGTCCTCTTGTTTTGGGGATCTTTTCGTTCTTTATTTTCAGGACAAAGTCTATCTACTTCCAATATCTTAAATCACCTTCAATATTGGTCGATCCCTTATTTTGTTTTGAAAACACTTGCTGGTGATTGTTACTGACCAACGAATTTGAAATATTTTTCGAGGGTATTTTTCTATGAAAGATTTTTAATAAGTTATCATCTGCAAAACAAAAATCATATTGATTGACAAATTTGAAAAAGCACAAAAATCAAGAAAATATTTTAAAGACTGCATAAAGTTGGTTTCTTAATTGTGTTAGGGAAAGACAAAGACTGGATGTCTAGAACATTTTTATTAAATTGATAATAATTACAATAGCTCTGCTTATTTTTAAATTATGTGTTTTTATACAACTACACAATCCCTTAACATATGCGTTTGATATAGAAAATTTGAATCGCTTATATAAATAAAAGTAGTTAAAAAATGTTAAAAAGAATTTTGGAGAATGACATCTCTTACGATACTTTGTATCACTTTTTCTTTCTATTTTGTTGCGCTAAGTGCATGCCTTTATGCAAATGAATTCTTGACATCAGTCGATATACATAATATGTAATGGAAAATGCACCTCAATGGTACAAGGTTATTACATGTTTATGAAATCCCATTTGGATACGCCTAGCGTCTTCAAACATTTTAAAGACATATCAACGTTTAAAGTTATTGTAATGAGCCACCATTATATAAATATTGTAAAAACTCAGTAATGATAATCACAAGTACCGGAAAAAGAATAACTAATGAGTGACTTTACATAACACAACTGAAATTTAGTATAACAATAAATAACTTGGCTGGACCGTTCCATATAAATAAAACATGATAATTTACCTCCACTAGGCATGTTTGTACGACGTGCACGTATTCATGAAACCGTTCTCATGCTCAAACTCACATTCTGTGCTCAAGCCCTAAGCCCCATTTCTTTATTCGGGTCATTATTTAACAAACAAAAAAACACATTTTGTCAGCATTTTTGGAAGAATGTTTTGGAGAGACTTCAAGTCGTATTCTTTTTTTAATGTTAGTACGTAACTATCTGACCGTGTCATGTGTATTTAAGCAAGTTACAAAAAAGTTTGTTTGAGCACAAAAGCCATGCTTGATCATGCGAACGGTTTCATGAATACGGGCCCAGGTCTGTAATGCTATTTGCAGTGCTATTAATAACCAAAGAAATCACAATGTTTCAAATAAATTGCCAGGAAGACATGTTAAGTAAAGTTTGTAATATATGTTTTACTACATTGGTGCGAAATATTAGGATACACCAATCTTGATCTGTTGGAAAAAATTGCATCTCAAATTGTAAGCATATTTTAAATGAGAAATATCTACAACTATATTTCTGGTATATGGATACTTAGATACATAGAGACTTTGTCATATTGTGTTAAGCGCATTCTTGAAATCCCAGGGGTTACACTCACTTATGCTCTCTGCACTTCTGGAATATGTCATGACGAAATCAAAGGCTCGTTCCAGGTAAAAAGGCCTTGTCAATCAATAGGCCAATTATCCTCGTAAAACCACATACAAAAAAAATCTATATAACATGTATGTAATTACCTATCTGTGATATGCAAATCGTTATTATTTTCAACGATGATTTTTTAGAAGATTTTCTGGGCAAGAATATACTGTGGCTGCATATTTAAAAGACCATGCCAGGATGGTCTCCAGCTCATTTGCATATAATCGTATATGAATGGTACGTAGTTAATACCTATTTGAATGATGACTGGGTAAGAATTACAGTGCTGCATTTAAAACAAAACATGTCAGCATGGTTTCTCCTCCTTTCGTTTGCATATATGTTTGGGTAATTAAAACATTTCTTTTGAATATGTAAAACCTGCGGTATCATAAATATGTCCAGCACTGGATTATCACATTTCCATTAGGTGTGAATCTACTGGCGTGGAACACGGAACCAGACAGTAAGACTACACTATGATCATTTCAGTGACGGATATTCTTATTTATTGCGCAAAAACTGTACAGCAGATTAAGTGCGGGATATTCCATCTTATTAATCGTATTTTCTGTAATACGATACATTTTGATATACAACACAGGGTTCAAATGATTCAGGGTGACGAATATTACGGGCAAGTATTATTGTCGCCATCATGACCTCATTGGGAAATATATTTCCTTGTGCGATATGAAGGTCAATGTTATTTCATTATGCTCGTTAGAGCGCACTATAGCTAGCTGTGGTTTCGGACTTTATCATTACCCCGGTTATCACTTCGAGGACGTGGCATTGCTTGGATTTTACCTAAATTTGCTTTCTTAAATATTTTTCCGAATTCCGAGTTCAAATTTGTTACTCTTTGGTATTCTCTAGTTTTCATTATTTTTTTTATAGGCATCTGGAATGTACAGCATTCCTATTTGCAAGTGCCAGGTTAAGATTGGTTGCGAATTTGATGCGTGTTTTCAGTATGGACATTATTTTTTTCACTTGAAAGTATGTTTCTTATCTCTAAAAAAAAAAATCTATTTCCAATTTTGATTATTGTGTTTTGTTTCACCGTTTCTCAGTCTTCTGATCTATAGTAAGCCTTTAAGTCCTATCAATATTGATTTTAAGTATATATATGTTCGTTTACATCGATTTAGAAAACAATATTTGTATCCGTTGATGAATTTGAAACAAGCAATTGATGTCTTAATATACATTTTACAAAACAGGTGTAACTAGTCTCCTATTCCAACTTTTTATGAAGTTGAAGTTTTACCAATTTTTATCAAATTGTTTTTATCTTTTTTTTTAATCAATCAACATCGAATATATCAATAGCACGAACAGTATTTTTGGTTACCAAAGTAAGTTCCATTTGGGAAAATTTGTTCTTCACAGTATTTCATAGTACCTATATGTATAGCTATCAAACTTACTTCTGTTTTATTATTATTATTTTCAAATCAATTCTGAAGCTTCAAGAATTGGGGGGGGGGAGGGGGGGCTACTGGGATGAAATAAAATGGGAGTATTTTTTACGTTAACTCCTTTGTTATTTATTAGTCCCAAACCTATGGAGTTTGTTGTGTTTCTTCTTATTATTATTATTACTTACGACACATAGGCAATACAGATGGGCATGTACGGATCTGTGTTACCAATTTCATTTTGGGATCGGTCACCCATCTACGCTAGCCAAAGGGTTACGATCCGGTACGATCTATCTACTCTTCAAGGGTGGAGAGTAGGAAGACTGGATCGTAATATTTGGCTAGCGAAGATGTCGATCACCAAACATAGCCGTTGTAGCATATGATTGTTTAATACATCTATGGGTGTACGCCAAGGTGATGCCAACTGTCCTCCTCTTTTTCTGATTTTTTGCTGCAATTTCGTAGGAACCTACGGGGCAATGTGGGGGACTTCTGTAACGGTCCACTAACTTATAATTATTTACCAAAAACCTCTATTTAATCTATAATAAATAAATGCATGTCTTAGTGACATAACTGCAAAATAGTCCAACTGTTTGAAAAAAAATCATTATGGGTATAGAAACCGCAAGCACAGATAATATGAAAATACCTCAAAAAAATCATCTACCATCCATTTTTACAAAATAATAGTGTAAAATGGCATACATTCCAGAAAAGCTGTTATTTGAATTAGAAAAATAAGAAGGAAAATTGTGAGTCTTCATAACCTGCGCAATGAAACCTACATTCGCATTCTGTTATGAAATAGCACTCATGTAAGCCCATTAAGATCCATATTTTTATTAACTATTGTTCGAAATCTGATTGTGATTTGAAATAACTCGAACGCACCTCAAACTATTTTCCTATCGAATGCATCGTTTTAACGCATGCGCAACAGCCCAAGCGGAAATGGCTGCGAAAAGGATGGCATTCGCAAACTTTTTCGGTAGTAAACAAAAAGTAGGTTATCATTCTTAACACACCTATTCATATATGTTTAAAGTACATTTTTGTAAGCTACAGTACTCTTAAATCGATTTGTGAACTCGTTGTTAAGTTATATCCATTGTAATGACTTACTTACACACTTTATTGAGGCGACGTAGGTATTGTTTTCATTTTAACTAGTCGGTCGTGTACAATACACAATCATGAATGTTTAACACTTCAACTTCAGTGTAGATTGTAAGGCCTACATGATACATGAACAGTTGATAGCTTGTACTTTCTAACGTTACAAATAATTATTCCAAAATGTGACATGTCACGGTTCAGTGTTTTTCACTAAATCGTATCCAATTTTGTATATGTAAATATTTATACTCAGACCTATTTACTGTCTCGGCTCAATATTATACCTCCTAAACATTGCCAATAACATGTATGTGTTAAATAATTAATGTTTTGTCTATGAAGTATGTTATGGTTATTGTGATGACTTGCTTATGTCGTTTACGAAATGTTAAATGTACATTCAGTATCAAATGTATTCAATCAGGAATTTTTTCTTTATGTTTGTATTAACTGTACCAGCTGCATGCAATCCATTTAAGAAGACAGATGTGTTAGTCAATAAGTGTTAAGGTTGTCCTTCAATTTGATCAGTCAAAATCCTGAACTATGGAATGTGATACTTTGAAGAACAGCATTTGACTCTTTGCTCCCCTATGGATATATGGGTTAGCTTTTTGAACACACAAAATTGATTAACTCATTCATCCCTGAAATTTCATTATGAACTATTCCAACCTTTTAGTTGGAAGAGTTAAATTGTGTCTTTAGGGGTGAATGAAATAATTCAGCATACTGAACAATTTGTAGTATCACAAGTAGTCTGGTGGAGTCATACTTATACTTTCTGTTACACTGTCAAATACTTATATCATAATTTGTGTTCATTTGATAGAAGTATCATGTAAAAAAAAAATGTAGGTCATATAGCTATGATTATCTTAAAAATTATCAAGGAATAATGTTATTTCATTGAGTAAATCAGTTGGTTAAATATCTTTTACTTAATGAAAGCTTTCATGATATTGATATACATGCATGTAGATTACAAATTGACCTGTAGACATATAGAATAGGTTATTTATGCTTTATTCACTGTAAATTAAAACCCCTCCCCCCTTTTTCAAAAGGAATTGAATTTATAAAGTCCCCCTTCCAGACCTGGTTCTGACCAGTGGCCCCTGACAGTGATTGTAGTATATGTACTAACACTTTGAAACAGAGATGTTAGTCTGGAAATAATGGCTGAACTTCCCCTGAAGCTGATGATACATTTTATTTCCAAACCTTCATGATAAGCTACACTGGAATGTTTATAATGTCCTTTAAGTGGTGACAACAATTGTTGTAGTTGCACAACTTTTTTTATGATAACTCACATTTTATTATCCTACAGGTACTGTAACAAGTGCCCCCTTTAAGCCAAATTATAAGCCCCCACCCTTAGCACTAATTGCAGAGAACATCAGTATTTCAGTCACTTTCATAAAATTTCAGAAATATTTGTTATTTCAACATATATTTATAGTAAGTACTTAAGGAATATAATATTCATGAATGGGGGGAGTTTATGTGCTAGGTACTGATATTTAATGTTCTATTTAGAAATACATTTTTAATGATCTTATTGTTTAGTATTTCTAATTCTAAGTCTATTTAATTGGAAAAATGCCTAAATTGTGTTAGAACCAATTTGTTAGTCACACCTGCACCCTACAGTATATACTGTTTCAGGTAGAAAATCATTCAATATCAAATTATCCCAAAGACCCAAGTTTATATGCATGAACATGGTTGGGGGTGGTGGGGGGTATTGAAACTCAAATAAAACCTCTGGATCCGCCACTGTGACTGAATTGCACATATATATATTATACATTGTAATACCATTTCTCAAATAACTGTAAATGCTTATATCCAAATGATCTAAGATTTTTTCATCGTATTGTATCGTTAACCTTATACATTTTCAAACAACCTACATCTAGATCTTTATTCTTATTCTTTATGCATGCATATGTATTATTTGTTTATCAGTTGCTCTTAGCCGTACTGGTTAAGTGCTTCATAACCCTGACATATGGCAATGAGGAAGTATTATCCCGTATTGAATGGAAACTTCCAGTATGTATATACATGTACATGAATATGTACATGAATGTGTACATATACAGTTTCACATGATATAAGATTATGACTGAAGGCATCTGTATATCAAATTACATTAGATGACATCAGTATATATAGGGTAAATGAACTTTGGTTTCAGACGTTCCTAACACTTAACTTGATTCAGATACACTGTACCTCTCAATGATTATACACAAAATAAAAGTGACGTGATCAATAGTATTTGCAGTGTGACAGTTCTCAGTAAATTTTAAAATAGTCATGGTTGACTTGAAAAGAATTGCCAGATGTATGTGTTCCCATGATATAATGTTGACCTATACATGTTTTTAAAAAAATGCACCGTTAATGAATAGCAGACTTCTTTTCCTGGCAACCAGCTTTTAATGAGAACACTATTAGGTATATATGCATGTATATACATATACAATAACAGGTATCACATTTTAAAAATAAGTTATTATTTGATTAATATAAACATAATTGAAATAAATTAAATAAAAGTTTCTAGTATAACTTACATTAAACTGAAACAATATTATAAAAAAAATTGTTGAAAAGCCTTATCTTTAATATCAATTCTACTTATGTACATGTATAGTTTGTGTGTCAAACGGTATCAAAAGAAACATGTGGACCAAGAATGCTCCTCATTGTCAATTTGATTTAATTCAATATATCTAAATATATCTATCTAGCTAGATGTTCTTGTACTGTTGTATATATAGTATATGTATTATCAATGTGTAAACAGAGCACATTAATATTTTGTCCATGTATTTGCAGCACCCTTTATATTAATTTAGTATGTATACAATCGACAACTTTGAAATTATGCAGTGTCCTGTAGAGGCCTATTCATCTTGAGCTGGGGTATATCTTATCTTTATTGTGCAATCAGATCACATGACAGCCATAACACATTGTATAATACATGTCACATTGTGTGTAAACAATTGAACTATGGCCAGGCCATGGTTCATAAGACAGACTTAAAGCGGTAAAATGTTTATACCCAGGGGCTTTCAGTGTGACCTTTTAAAGAAGCTTTGATTTTTCTCAAAATGTGCCTTGACTGATCAATCATGGGTGTTGAAAAACTTATCTTTGCAGTAAGTTTTTTGCTCGGTTTTACAGACTCTTTCCCCTGGCTAAAAAGTGCCCCATTTCCCCTCAAAATGACCAAAACCTGAGGAATGTAATTCCAATATCATTAAATATAATGCTATATTTTCGAAGTTGTAAAATTGAGGTAAAATCACTGCTTTGATAGGTTGGTGGTGTTTTTTTTTACAAATGTTCTGAGAAATGTTACTTTACATCTGAAATTGCTAAATTTATGTCAAAGGACATAATGTACAGTCAAATGTCCTAATAATGTCATCTATCTAAATCTTTTGAAACAGCTTGATTCTCATCATGGACTTTTAGCCAATGAAAACAATATTTGTACACTAGTATTCAGATTTTGTTTATTTTTTGAAGGCCCCCAATATAATCCCAAAGGTGTATACAAAACTTCATAGATACAGTTCGATAATTTCGGTGTGGAGGATTCCTTAGTTAAAGGATTCAATGTGTAAATAAACAATTAAGATAGTAAAATGAGTTGAGAAATTTAGGATCTACAATATATATACATGCCCAAACTGTCATGATCTTTTATTAAGCCTTTTGATTGTGAATTTCCTGCTTTGTGTACATGTGTCCGGTATTTCCCTGGTGTGAGCGTCATTTAATATTAACCACACCGTAAAGATATACACACTGTCAACAGGAAGTTTTAAGTCCCCTTACATGTTTCTGTCTGTGCTTGAAGTGATTATACTTTAAAGTCAAATCATTATTACATTCCTTAACCACTATATTGGTCCGGTGAAATTTCTGCATTATCAGAGGGTTAGGAAATACACTTGGAAATGTACAAAGGAATTATTAAGGAAAAAAGTGTTAGGACTGCATGGAATCTATTGATATAACTTGTAATTGACAAGGGAGATGACTTGTTAAATGAGGGGCATTATATCAAGGTTTTTACCTTACATGTGTATTATTACGTACAAGTATGAGTCAAATAAGTGATATCAATGGTGAAATCCCATGATTATTCATATGTATCACTGGATCATAACAAACGTAAGTTCGTAGGATAGGAATTAAATCACTTAGAATTGGTATAGCTGGGACAAGGAAGTAATTCTAACAGCTATAGTTTAGCCAATAGAAGGTTGTCAGATGTCATGTTGTCAGATGTCATGTTGTCAGATGTCATGTGACAATGTTGTCACATGTCATGTTGTCACATGTCAGATGTCATGTCAGCAATGCATTGATCGTTTTATGTCCACATTGCAAATACTTGACAGATTTTAAATTGCGTAAGAGAAAAAAGAAAGTTCTATCCAACTTTTCGGGGTTAACAGAATTCTATATTAAATCACAGCCAAACTTTGTTATCTCAAACACAGTGGTTATATCTCCATTTTTTTATTTATTTTTTAGCCTTTTCAACATAGTAAAGATAACAAAGTTTGATTGTATATGTACAAGTACATATGGATAGCATTGTGATACTTTAGAATGACACCCCTGCAGGTCGGGGATCGAAAAAGAATACACCTGCTTGTTACCCACTGCATGTATCGTTGGTGGTGACTAATGGGGAACCCACTGCTGAATTGGGGATTTGCTTTTGTGCCCTCTACTTGGGGACGCAAAACCAACCAAAATAAATCTGCTGCACCCATTGCAATAGTTGGGATCTTTATCTTTCTTTCTACTTCACTCCTGGCTTTAATGTTGAGCGTTCGCCCAGGTGAGGAAGACAATGGGATCTGTTCCCTGGCAGGGACATACCCAAGTCATTAAAAATGGTAGTTGTTATTCCCTGCTTAACATTCAGCATTAAGGGTGATGGCAACAACTGGTTCACCCGTTGTCAGTATANTCCGCGCTATCACAAGGAGGCAAGTACACCAACATACCCTGTCCCCAGCACACATAGACACATGCACGCTTACACAACACACACGGAGGCGTGTCCTTAACTGACCTTAGATGTCGATAGGACGTTAAAGAAATCAAAAACCAACCAAATCAAACTTTAGATTGAGCAGCACAACAACTAGTAGTAATAGGATCACTTGTTATACCGTATTTCAGAAAAGTTTAACTTTGGCAAAAATTTGCATTTTTATTGCAATGTCCCATGAATAGCTATATAGCAGGTGTTTTGGTTATATCTCATTGGATTTTAGAATGAGATGCTATAAGCCGAAGTGGCCAACACATAATCTTGACTGAAAGTAGGGGGGAAACTTATTACAGGACAATGAAAAAGCTTTTATTGGCTTTTCTTCCTGACTGCAATATATATTGGTGGGCTTATTACCAAGCACGTCTTTGTACATATATTGGTAACACCAATGTTTGTCAGCACTCTAGCAGCTTCATTCCTTTAGGGATTTTGATCAAACTTCACACAAATACAAAGGAGCATAATATCTCGGACAAGTTCGAGTTTCAGGGTTGGTGGGTCAAGGTCACCGTTACTATTTTTGAAAAATTCATTGTCAGCGCTCTAGCGGCTTTATTCCTTCAGGGATTTTGATCAAACTTCACCAAATCACAAAGGACAATAATATCTCTGACAAGTTCGAGTTTCAGGGTTATAAATGATTTGATTTTATATAAATCCTCTATTATAATACTAACATTACAATTCTTGTATTATTATTACATTAAAATCAGTTACAAGCTAATTGTATACTTTTCACTTTCCAAAATTAACCCCAAAGGGCCCCATTTTTATATATACACGTATACAGTGAAATAGCTAGCAGGGGCCGGTAGGGGACATGTATTGCTTTAGCAATACTCAGTATGCTTGTTGTCAAATAAATTCTTGAAGCTTTCAGATTGTTACTTTGAGAATATTATATGATACGCTTTTGTTTGATTTGTTTATTTAAGTATTGTTTAACGTCCTGTCAACAGCTATGGTCATTTTTGTTTGAGAATGAGATATTACTTTGCTAACACTGTAAACTGTTTTCTATAACTTTCAGACATTTCGTCCTAGAAAGAGGGGCATATTTGAGGGGACAATCAAGTTTAAACTTCACAAACAGGCTAATGCCTCGCTCAATTCAGGTATTGACCTCCAGGAAGTAGTGAAGCTCCCACATGGGGAGGATCGTAACGACTGGATCGCTGTCCACGGTAAGTTGTTTTCGATTCACATGAAATTGATAATTATACCCCCGCAACGAAGTTAGTGGGGGAGGGTATACTGGAATCACCCTGTCTGCCTGTCGTCCACAGTAACTTATGCAGTTGTGCACCCTCATTTTAATTTGGGATTTCGACCCTTTTTGATGGAGGTATGCCCCTTTGTGCTAAATACTTGTTACTGGTGGGAGACTATATGGATTGCTTTGCAATGCTTTGCCTTATATTAGTAAGCCTTTAGCTTACAGTTCTGGTTTATATAGAAGCGGGGGTATAAGTTAGCCTTTAACTTACAGTTCTGGTTTATATAGAAGCGGGGATATAAGTTAGCCTTTAACTTACAGTTCTGTTTTATATAGAAGCGGGGCTATAAGTTAGCCTTTAACTTACAGTTCTGGTTTATATAGAAGCTGGGGTATAAGTTAGCCTTTAACTTACAGTTCTGGTTTATATAG